CCAAGGAAATTAAGGATAGCATGAAATTGAAAGAATAAAACATACAACCTTGCCAACGTTAGTGGTGAGCCAGAGGATTGAGAAAGTTTTAAATATCAACAGGTGATGACAAACAAAGAGGGAGAAAACAAACTCTGAGGTGAACTAACAAGTAACAAAATGGACAGCAAATATAAGAAAAGAAAGAGAGGCATCCCTTTATCCTTTATTCATTATTAGGGATGAGGGCGTTGCTGGCCAGGCAGCACTTATTGCCTGTCCATAATTGCCCAGAGGGCAGTTAAGAGTCAACCACATTACTGTGGGTCTGGAGTCACATGTAGGCCAGACCAGGTAAGGATGGCAGTTTCCTTCCCTAAAGGACATTAGTGAACCAGATGGGTTTTTCCAACAATTAACAATGGATTCATGATCATCATTAGATTCTTAATTCCAGATTTTTTATTGAATTCAAATTCCACCCTCTGCCGTGGCGGGATTCGAACCCGGGTCCCCAGAACATTACCTGGGTCTCCGGATTAACAGTCCAGCGATAATACCACTAGGCCATCGTTTCCCCCATAAGGCATCAAACTGAACTTACGCCATTAAAGAATTTGGGTCGGTAAATTAGAGGGAACCAGAAAATTGCAGAAGAGTTGAATAAATCTTGCAGTAGACAACACTAATAGAATTCCAAAAATACCAATTATTCAAGGAAATAAGTATAATGACTATTACTACGGAAAAGTACTTGGGGAACTACTGGGGCTTAAGGCCAAGAAAGTCCTGTGGACTTTTGGGAGTGTAACTCTGTAGTAGTTCCAGAGATAGAGGATGCACTGGTAGTAATCTTCCAAAATTCTCAGATTCTGAACAAGTCCCGAGGATTGGAGAACTACCAACATAACACTCTTGTATGAAAAAGGGAATGAGAGAAAAAGAGGTTTAAAAGAAAGAAAAAAAGCTAGATTGCTTAACCTTTGTCACTGGAAAAAGAATAGTGTTTTTTTTTTTACAAAGAATAAATTACAGAGCATTTAGGATGACACAATATAATCAAGTAGAGTCAGCACGGCTTCCTGAAAGGGAAACCATGCCTGCCAAATTTATTAGAAATCTTTCGTACCAAACAGGATAGGTAAAGGGGAAGCAGTGGATGTAATAGACCTCAATTTTCGGAAGGCAATTGGCAAGGCACCACACATTAGGTGACTTAATAAGCCCAAGAGCCCAATGTGTTGTGGGTAGCATATTAGCACAGATAGATGGTTGGCCAACTAATAGAAGACAGACATAGAACAAGGTGGGGGGGGGGGGGGGGGGGGGGG